GGCCTCAGGTTCCTGTGATGGGAAAAGAGCCCAGGTGACAAGCAGTGCCCCAGCATCGCAGGTAGCTCCGCGGGGACCCTTCCCCTGGTCTCGCTCCACCAGGTTTGCAGGGGAATCTGAGTGGGACAGAGAACGGGGAGGGGCTTGCAACAATTCTCGCAGGGGCCTGGCGGGCAGAGCTCCCGAAGGCAGTGCCCAAGCCGTGACCTCAACCACGAGTTTTGCTCACCTGCAAAACCAACGAACTTGGCAGGGTGCACATCTGCCGCACTCGGGTCCTCATACGACGAGGCATTCTGCCTGCCTTAGAGTCTAGTGGGCCCAGGCCCCAGCCAGGTGCACAGCCACAGCCGCACGTGCGGCGTGGAGAGTCTCGGGACGCACTGACCAGGGAGCCTGGTGGGAACAGCTTGAAGCCTGCGCCTGCGCGCCTGAGCTCAGAGTGGGTAGGCGGGGCTGCTCGCCCAGGCCCTGCGGGGCAGAGCTGGTACAGCAGTTGGCAGGCGGGGTTCCCTGCTCCTCCCAGACCCGGGATTAATTCACAGCCAGGGCTGACGGCAGCTGCCCGCTTCTCCCCCACTGGAAAGCCTGTTTGAAACAGTGGGTGCTTCCAGGAGTGGCCCCACCCCGTCACACCAAGACCTGGGAGCTGAAACAGAGCCCCACCCATCACGGGTCCCAGGCCCATCTAACCTGAGGGTCTAGTGAGAACACCTGGAGGCTGTGTAATCAAAATAGAAATTAAGTTGTTACAGAAAAATAAAGGGATATTTCTTGCCCAATTATGTTGGTGTGGACATTTGCACCTGTCACCCGTCCATCTTACAAATTAATTTTACTAATTGAGGTTACCAAGTATTCCATCTCAAAGAGGACCAGCAGGATTTTTATCACGGTGAAAAAACTCATTGCAAGCTTAACGTATTGTGAGTTAAAATAAGGCTGGAAGGAGGTGGCAAGGGAAATTTTTTAAAAAAAGATAAGTTGCAGTGGAGGAAGCAATGAACGTGAATGTGGTTAGAGCGCCACTGTTGCAGAATGCTGCAGAGGTCGTCCTCCACTAGATGAAGAGTCTCTAAAAAGTGAAAAACAGCTAAATATCTAAGCCTTGCTGGCTAAAATAAAAATCTTACCATATATTTAAATAAGTATTAAAGTATAAAATGCTATTGTGCTTTAGTAACACTTTGATTTTACCCAGGAAGGGTAAAACACTTCCAAAGTTTTCAGTATCCTTATGACTACACCCACAATAATAAATTACTGTATTAAGCAAGAAAGCAAACGTGCTAAGTGTGCCACATTTATGGACCTGGATGAAAACTATGTTATCATTAATTTTTTTAAAATCACTGTGGATTGCATTAGGAAAAGTTCTGTAAAATTACTCCATTGGAAAGAACAACCTAACCATCTGTATTAAGAATATCTTAAATGTCTTTTCATTGTATTTATTTGAAAACAAGACAAGATAAAGAAGATAAACTTATTTATCAAAAACAAGCCTTACGGGCACCTGGGCAGCTCAGTGGATTAAGCCTCTGCCTTCGGCTCAGCTCATGATCCCAGAGTCCTGGGATCAAGGCCCACATAGGGCTCTCTCTCAGCAGGGAGGCTGCTTCCCTTCCCCTCTCTCTGCCTGCCTCTCTGCCTACTTGTGATCTCTGTCAAATAAATAAATAAAATCTTTAAAAAAAAAAAAGCCTTACAAACAGGCATTTTAAATCTTTAACATTGGATTAATGCAGTAATGGAATGAACCTGTGAAATTTTGAAGGCAGAAAAGGTCTAATTTAGTTTAAAATAAAATATGAAGCACCTTAGTGAAATTTATTTTGCTCAGTGTGGTTGTGAAGAAACCATGTGTAAAAAAAAAAATAAAGAAGTTGTGTATATATTTTTTATAATTCAAACCATGGGAATCATTTTAAAACACTTCCTTAAAAAATGGATATTATAAACTGTGCTAGCCAATACAGCAGCCACGATTCACATATGATTATTTAAATTTTTAATTAGCTAAAATGAGGTAAAATTTAAAATTGGGTTCCTCTAATTTTTTAAAGATTTTATTTATTTATTTGACAGAGAGTAAGAGAGCACAAGCAACGGGGGTGGGTAGCAGAGGGAGAGAGAGAAGCAGGCTCCCTGCTGAGCAGGGAGTCCAACACGGCGCTCCGTCCCAAGACCCTGGGATTATGACCCAAGATGAAGGCAAACCCTTAACTGACCGACACACCCAGGCAGACACATAACCAACTGAGCCCTCCAGGCACTCCCCACATGTGGCTCTCAAGCACTTGAGATGCGGTGATTAGAGGAAGTAAATTTAGGTGCGCCTGGGTGGTTCAGTCGGTTATAAGCATCTGCCTGGGCGGCTCAGTCAGTTAAGTGTCTGCCTTTGACTTGGTTACTGATCCCAGGATCCCGAGATGGAGCCCCACCTTGGGCTCCCTGCTCTGCGGGGAGCCTAGTTCTCCCTCCCCCTCTGCCACTCCCTCTGCCTGTGCACTGTACACATGCACATGCTCTCTCTCTCTGTCATAAATAAATAAATAAGATCTTAAAAAAGAAAACCCACATGTGGCTAGCAACTACCATGCTGGGCAGCATAAATTTATAGAGTATTACCAATATAATGGTACTGGACAGCAGTGGTCTAACAAATTATATAAGCAGCCATCATAATAAAGTGAACCATGTAAGTCCTGAAAAATTTTTGTAAATATAAAGTTTTTGCTTTTGTAATTTTGTTTCTAATCCAGGGAATATTTCAGATAGCACAAAATACAAATCAAATTTGAAATCTGCATATGTAGTTTAAAATTTAATCTTGCCTAGAATGTAATTTTACTTTTGTATATTAGCTGTATTACCAATAGTGTGTTAAATTATTTGTAAAACTGAATGGTGAAGACAAAGACTAGCTTAGATGAATTAATCTAAATAACTCTGGTCAAAACTCTTTTGCAGTCTATGGAAGATTTTTTGGCTTGAATTATTTATTTTTTAAGACCACTGTAGGCTGCCTGGGTGGCTCAGTGGGTTAAGCCTCTGCCTTCGGCTCAGGTCATGGTGTCAGGGTCCTGGGATCTAGCCCCAAATCGGGCTCTCTGAAGGCAACCTGCTTCTCCGTCTCTCTCTGCCTGCCTCTCTGCCTACTTGTGATTTTTCTGTCAAATAAATAAATAAATAAATCTTAAAAAAAAAAAAAAAAGACCACTGTAGGCATAGCCTAAACATAGAAAGATATGTGTAGAAATACTATAATTTTATTAACGTAAAGGCAACTAACAACAAATTATTTATTTGGAGAACAGGGTCATAAAAATCGTACCTTACATTTTAATCTTCCTAAAATTAGTTACACTATATTTCACTAACATACTCTAAAAACTGAATTTAATTTTCAAAAAATATATCATTTGAAAAATTGTATCTATTCTACAAATGGACCATATAAGGCCATCCTAAACTACTTTATGAGTCATAAAAATAACAAGACTTGTCAACTTTCACACAAATTACTTGGACCAACTTATTACTTTTTATTGAATTTCTTCTTTGCCTTATCAAAAGACAAAGTTAATTAATGTCCACTAGACAAGAAAATCCATGGGTCATAAGCAAATGTGCATAACTAAAGACTGAACTCTCACATGGAAAAAAACTGTTTTTTTGAACAATACCTAAGAATGCAATAAAAGCGAATATAACTGAGAATTGTTCCATACTAAAAGTTGAGATGACATTATCACTAACAAACATTTCTCTTTTCTCTGACAAAATGTTTCTTAAACACAAAACAATGAAATTATACAGTATTTTCTATAGCTAAAACATTCAAGAACTTTAAAGTGCTTAAGCTAAACATAAAATCCTACTCATAAGCAAAATGGAATTATTTTTTTCATTTGCCAATATTCTTGCCAATATCCTTCAAGATCACTTTTTTCTAATTGAATTTCTGATCAATATTTTCATTTAAATATGTAAGATTCAAATTTGTATGCACTTCAACTAGTAGAATCAATCAGAAAAACACAGTAAATATATTAAACCTTTACCCAGACATTTCAGAAACAATAACAACAACAACAAAAAAAAATCAGTGTCTGAACCTGGTCAGATTCTTTTTATTCATAGTGATATATTCTTAAATTTGAACTACTTCAATAGAAACAAAAAGCCTCCTGACATGATTTTCTGTGATGACTCTTAGAAAACTGTTGTGATAAAATATTATCAGGAGATAAATAAAATAATAAAAATATCAGGAGGTAAATAAAAGGATGGTGTTCTTACCAGAAGTAAATAAAAAAACCATAGGTCTCATGCCTGGAAAGTCTGGGTCAAACAAAAGTATGTCAATCCTACGAATGCCCTGCTCGTGGATATACAAGAAAGCCAATGCGTGTTTTGGTTATGTGTAAACCATGTCTCCCTTCTGAAGCAGTGGAGCTTAGACCTCAGATCTGCAGTGATGGTCCACTTCACAAATACTGAATGTCCACTACCTACAAATTCCCACACCCGACGTCATGGTTTGCCTATCCAACCAACTACGTCTCTCTAGCTCACTACCTATGGGTGTGTCCCTGATGCTCAGATCACACCTATCGGTAAGAGCTAAACATGCTATTCTCATTCTACCTTGAAACAGCAATGAAAACGACCTTTGGGAGTTTACTACCATTCCCTTAATCAGAGGTTATCAGAGTACTGCCCATCACTTCCTTCACAAGATGAAACATTATACATCTTCCGAATGCAATTTTGTCTGCTATGTGGGCAGAGAAAGAACATCAGATATTTCTTCAGTTGTGAATGCAGAACTCCCGCTACAACAAGCTAATTTTGGAATGACAACTTGAGAAACTTACAGGATGAAACAACAGTGTTTAAAAAAAAAAAAAAAGAATGTAGGGTGGCTGGCATTCAAGTAGTTGAGTCAGTATCTCTTGGCTCTGACTCTGCTGGAGGAGTTGTTGCGGAAGCCACTACGGTTTGGATGTAGACTTCTTGAGGTCATAGCGAAGACTACGGATGGAGCTATTGATAGCTGTCACACACAACTTCCAGTCGTATCCGGTTTCCGAGAGACTGCAAGTCGGGTAGATGTCTTGAAGAAATTCTGGTGGTAAAACCCGAAAACATAAGTTACTTAGAAAGCACTTCTCAGACGAATGAATTTATTCAACCTCTATTCTATTGTGGTGACTACAAAACGGTCATTAAAACTTTAATTAAAACTCATGGAGTATAACTATTATTAAATGAGCTGAACAAATCTTTTCATCTAAAAGGATAATAGGAAAAAGCACCATTCTTAAATCACAGTAAAATAACAATATCCCATGACCTTGCCACGTAACCAGAATGGAAGTCCTCTCCGGCCTTCAGTACCCACGGAAACTTTTCTTATTCTTGAATTTATCAAACGTGCATGTTATTCATTGTATCAAGACCTGCTAAGGCTTTGTAACACACAAGAGGCTGCAATGTCTTTTATACTTTGAGAGGCAAGAAGCCGTAACTGCTAAATATTTTGGTACTGCTTGATTTATCTCCCACGAGAAAGAAGGAGTCTCTCCAACTTGCATTTAGAGGAAAATGTCTGTAAGGGAAGGCTACAGAGCAACATGGCTCAACGCTTAGAGAAAGTGGGTGGACAAAGGAAAGGTAGAGAAGAGAGATGGTTTTTTTTAAAAGATTTTATTTATTTAATTGACAGACAGAGGTCACAAGTAGGCAGAGAGGCAGGCAGGAGAAGAGAGATGTTTTTAACCAGAGGAGCAGAACTGTCCTCAGATATTTTTTTAGGTGACTTCCAAAGTGCCTTTGAGGCCTTAGGAAAGGATCTGTTGAGCACTACAGGCTGGCATTAGCTGACTACATTAATTTCACTTGTTTTTCTTTTTTTTTAATATAATTTTTTATTAACATACAATCTATTATTAGCCCCAGGGGTACAGGTCTGTGAATCGCCAGGTTTACACACTTCATAGCTCTCACCATAGCACATACCTTCCCCAATGTCCATATCCACACCACCCTCTCCCTACCCCCCTTCCCCCAGCAACCCTCAGTTTGTTTTGTGAGATTAAGAGGCTCTTATGGTTTGTCTCCCTCTGGATCCCATCTTGTTCCATTTATTCTTTTCCTACCCCCAAACCCCCCACATTGCCTCTCAACTTCCTCATATCAGGGATCACTTGTTTTTCAATAAGATTAAAAAGTTGGGAAATCAGGAGAATGTCATGAACACAGCATAGGTCCAAAATTTTTAGCAAGGCAGGTGACAGTTAAAAAGCTTTTATACTCAAAGGACTACTTACTACATCAATGGATAGCCTAGAAGGAGGATTTCAGTGGTATGTCCCTGGATTCAGTATTTTTATGTTGCCAGACATCTTTTTTTATTTTTTTATTTTTATTTTATTATTTTGCTGCCAGACATTGTTATTAACAATAACTAAGAGACTGGAAGAGAAATACAAGCACCCACAAAGCTCCTAAAGTGGTTAGTGTTTCCCCAAAAGTGTTCTCTGTAATACTATTCACGAAGAAGTTTCCCGGGGAAAAGATCCTGGTTGTGCAAACGAGCAATGCTACACTCCAGAGGTGGTTCCCACTGAAAAATCCTGCAGTAAAGAGACCCGCTGATTCAAAGGTGACAGAATCAGATGCGTGAGTTGGGCATATAAATGAGGAAGGTGGCAATGCAGAAAATAACCGAAGGTCAGCACTATGGAGATCTGGGTGGGCTTCAGAGCTAAAGGCATTCAAAACATGTTTCAAAACAGAGTCAGGTGAAATAGATCTATAGGGTAAGGCCCTGGGGGTGCCCAATCAAGAGCTTCCCTAGCCATTTGACTATAAAAAGCACCTTATTCATGAAGCGCCCATTAACATTCAGGTGTTTTTAAGAAATATTGTTTGGGGGATGCTTGGGTGGCTTAGTCAATGAGTGTCTGCCTTTGGCTCTGGTCATGATCCCAAGGTCCTGAGATGGAGCCCCGCATCAGGCTCCTTGCTCTGGGGGGAACCTGCTTCTCCCTCTGCCTGTTCCCCTTGCTTATGCTCGCCTGCTCGCTCTCGCTCTCTCTCTCTCTGACAAATAAATAAAATCTTAAAAAAAAAAAGAAACATAGAATGCTGCTCTACACTAACAGTATAAAATGCAAGGGAATAAATATAAAATCCTACACTTATATAAAAAAAATACTAACAGTATAAACAGGAATAGCCCAAACAGTAACAACATAAGTACTAGATAAACATCAGTATATAGAAAAAAAGATCTAGGGGTCTTAGGTGACCGTAAAATTAAAAATGGCAAGTGCCATTTTAGTCTGCATTAACATTGACATTGGTCTTGGCAATGATTTTTTTTTAATCTGACACCAAAAATAAAAACAACAAAAGCAAAAATAAACCAGTGAGACTACATTAAACTAAAAAGCTTCTGCACAGCAAAGGAAGCCATCAACAAAATGAAAAGGCGATCCACTGAATGGGAGAAAATATCTGCAAATCATGTATCTGATGAGGGGTTAATATCCAAAATATAAAAATAACTCATACAACTCAACAGCAAAAAAACCAACCACATGACTTAAAATATGGGCAAAAGATCTGAATAGATGTTTTCCCTAGGAAGACAGAGAGATGGCCAACAGGTATTTGAAAAGATGCTAAACATCATTAACCATCAGGGAAATGCAAATCCCAACCACAATGAGAGATCACCTCACCCCTGTCAGAATGGCTATTATCAAAAAAACCAAGTGTGGGAGAAGATGTGGAGAAAAGGGAACCCTCGTGCACTGTTGCTGGGAATGTAAACTGGTGTGACCACTATAAAAAAAAAGTAATGGAAGTTCCTCAACAAATTAAAAATACAACTACCATACAATCCAGCAAGTCCACCTCTGAGTATTTATCCAAAGAAAACAAAAATACTAACTCTAAAAGATAGAAGCACCCACCCTGATCACTGTAGCATTATCTAGTGCTCACTTTGGCAGCACATACACTGCAGCATTATCTACATAGCCAAGACATGGAAACAAACTAAGTGTCCAAGTATCCATGATGGATGAATGAATAAAGAAACTGCGGTGTATACACATACACAAAAACACACATACACACACACTGGAATATTATTCGGCCATAAAAAAATAATGAAATCTTGCCCCTTGGGACAACACGGATGGACCCTGAGGACATTACACGAAGTGAAAATAAGCCAGTCAGAGAAGGACAGATACCCTATGATTTCACTTACGTGTGGAATCTAAAACAACAACAAGATACAGAGAACAGACAGGTAGTTGCCAGAGGCAGGAGGTAGGGAGAGGAAGAAATGGGTGAAGGGGGTTCAAAAGGTAAAAATAATAATAATAATAAAATGAATACATGTTACAACACGTATACATATAGAAAGGAAGGAAGAAGAAAGGGAGAGAGACAGGGAAGGAAAAAGGAAGGAAGAGGAGAAAGAATGACTTGGCAGGAACAATTTGCAGAGACAGCATGCTTACCAAAATAATAAAATTTAAAAATTAAAATTAAAATGGCAAGTGTCATTTTAGACTGCATTAACAGCCTAATAAGTAACAGTATTATTGTATTCTGGGTTAACTTGAGAACATCTGAAGTTAGTCACTGAATCAGATCATGAAAGATTAGGCAAGTATTTCTATGAGGAGTTCCTGAAGGAAATGGAGATATTTACCTGTAAAAGTGTAAGACTTAGTGGGGAAAAGTTGTGAATAACACTTATTTTCTCAAATTCTCATGCTTCCATGTAGAGGGATCTCCAAGTTGAAAAGTTTGGGGAAACTGGGCATGTATGAGCTGATATTTTTATCTCCTCCTGCCAGATTCTAGTGGTTCTCTCTCGCTTGGTTCCGAACTTGAAAGCGGGGAGAGAGGGTGTATTTACTCTCTCTCAATGCTCCAGCAGGAAGTAATAGCTCTCTCTACATACTTGAAGGCCTATCATGTGAAAAGTAATCAGATCTACCCTAGTTAGCTCTGGAAGGGATGAGTTGAACAGATGTGTATTACATGCAGGGAAGTAAATTTTAAGTCACTTGGAGGAAAAACCTTCTCATGAATTAGAGCTCCTTTAAAATGTCTTGGGTTGCTGGAGGCGAGAGAATATGGTGATGGAGTAGGAGGACCCAAGACTTCTGTCACCCCATGAACACAACTAGACAGCCATCAAATCATCCTAAATACCCCAGAAATCAACCTGAAGTCTGACGGAACAAACCCTACAACTGATGGAAGAAAAGGGGCCATGTGGAAGAAGGTAGGAAGTGTGGGGATATGGTTTAGGGGAGAAATGGGTGGCAGGTGCTATGGGGTGGGGGAGCCATGCAGAGGAGAGAGAGAAAGAGAAAGGGAGAAAGAGAGAGAGAGAGAGAAGCACACAGGGGAATGATGCACAAGAAGAACAAGACCCACTCAGTTTCGAGTTCTTGCGATGCGCAGCAGTGATTAAAGCCTGGAGTTTCTTTTTTTTTTTTTTAAGATTTTATTTATTTATTTGACAGACAGAGATCACAAGCAGGCAGAGAGGCAGGCAGAGAGAGAGAGGAGAAAGCAGGCTCCCCAAGGAGCAGAGAGCCTGATGCGGGGCTCGATCCCAGGACCCTGGGATCACGACCCGAGCCGAAGGCAGAGGCTTCAACCCACTGAGCCACCCAGGCGCCCCTAAAGCCTGGAGTTTCAAAGGTCAGTAGGCTTGACTGGGATAGAGCCCAGAGGGCACTGCCCTGCTCCTGCCAAGAAGGCAGGCAAACTCGCACAGGGTGTGGAAACAGTGATTTGAAGACTGCCTGGGGCACACAGGGAGAAGATGACTCTCTTCTTGGAGCACTGTCCCTGAGAGGCAGCGTTCCCAGAGATGGCCCTCTGGGAACAAAGGAGCTGGCTGGGGCTCCATTTCCCTCCCCCACCCCTCAGCAGAAACACAGAGCCACCTGTGCGAAACAGCAGAGGGAGGACGCTGGCTGCCTAACTTGCTTACACCAAGCCCCACCCCACCCCACTCTGACAGGACTGCCCTTCTCGGTCAAGCTTGCCTCAGTCCCAGCCAGGTGGGCCCCTTCCAAGAAG